AGCTGTTGTCAGTCTCCTTCTTCCTCCCTCCGTCGTCCTCCCTTCCTTGTCGCTTCTTGTCGCTTCCTCCCTCTCCCCTCTCCCTCTCCCTCCGCCTTCTCCCTCTCCCTCCGCCTTCTCCCTCTCCCTCCCTCTTCTCCCTCTCCCTTCCTCTCCGTCCCTCTCCCTCCCTGTCCCTCCCTCTCCCTCCCTCTTCCTCCCTTTCCCTGCCTCTCTCTCTCCCTCCCTCCCTGCCTCTCTGCCCTTCAATCTGACGCTTCCTCCCTCTCCCGTCCCTCTCCCTACCTCCTCTCTCCCTCCGCCTTCTCCCTCTCCACCCCTCTCCACCCCTCTCCATCCCTCTGCCTCCCTCTCCCTCCCTCTTCCTCCCTCTCCCTCCCTCTCCCTCCCTCTTCCTCCCTCTCCCTCCCTCTTCCTCCCGCTCCCTCCCTTTCCCTGCCTCTCTGCCCTGCAATCTGTAGAATAGCGATCTTTGTTCTTCACACGCCACGTGGCAGCGCGTAATAGTAAGTTGACAGGAGGCTGAGACGAGAGAATCTCATCTACATGGTAGTGTGCGTTGCCACGTGGCATGCAATGTTTTGATAGCCCAAGGCTGAGACTTCAATGTGTATCATGTTGGTCAGATGTGGTGGTACTATGTGGTACTGTGTGGGCCAGGTGATATAATGCGGGTACTATGTGGACCATGTGGTATCATCCAGGTCAGATGTGGTGGTACCATGTGGACTCAGTGTGGTCTCATGCGGGTCAGATGTGGTGGTACTTTGTGGCACTATGTGGGCGAGGTGGTACTATGTGGTACTATGTGGTACTATGTGGACCAGGTGGTACTATGCGGGCCAGGTGGTACTATGTGGTACTTTGTGGCACTATGTGGGTGAGGTGGCACTATGTGGTACTATGTGGACCAGGTGGTACTATGTGGGCCAGGAGGTATCATGGGGGTTAGATGCGGGGGTACCATGTGGACTCACTCGGACTCAGTGTGGTATCATGTGGGTACGATGTGGTGGTACTTTGTCGACGAGGTGGTACTGTGTGGGTCAGGTGCTACCATGTTGGGTGGGTCATACTATGTGGACTGTATGGCTCAAAACATACACACAGAGATGCGGACGCAACATAATCTTTGCTGCGAACACTTCATGTGTAAGAGGCTAAAAACTGTCTGGCGTAAAAACAGATCCTTTGCTGAAATTCTTCACAACCACCGAACTGCTTCTCTGTCGCATACCGTAAAGGTGCAGACCAGAACAAGAACCGACCTCTCTCACATAGTACCAGATAGCACAGCGGAAGGCTAATATACCAATGATCTGATCAATCAATGTTGCAATGCAGACCAAACATACATCATCATCATCGTATGGTGTGAAGGGACCTGGCGCTCACACAGGAAGAATGCGCCAGTCCCAAACATACACAGAAGAAGAGGAGGGGGATTAGAGGAAGAAGAGGAGAAGATGGGAATGTCGTCCACACCAAGTCTTCGGTACAGGTCCCAAATAATCCCTGGTCCAATGTCTCAATCCCAATGTCGAGTCTGAATCCAAATGTCGTCAAGTCCCAAAGTCAACAATCTCTCTCTCTCTCGTAGTCTGCAGATATTGAGAAGTTAGGTAGCGAGAGGGTGAGGGAGAGATGGTAGACTTAGAAGAGGAAAAAGAAGAACTCTCTCTCTCTCTCTCTCTGTCTCTCTCGGTCCGGTACTAACCTGTGAAGGTGGCGCCTTGTTGCAAGTACATCGAAGACAAAGCTGGAGCTATGGCGCTACAGGTAAGTCTCCCTGGCCTCCGCCAACCCTTTCTCTCTCTCTCCAATGCTACTCTAGCTCCTAATAGCGCCCAATGCTGACGACTACTGCTAATGCTACTACTACTACTGCAGCGCTCCTCCAGAGTGCTGCTGTCGAATCCTGAAGACTTCCTCCTGCCTCGTGCACCTGAAGTGTCCGTGAACTGCTTGGGAAGTTCCTATGAACGACCTGTGAAGTGCCTGGCGGACCAGTACTATATAGTGCTGGTCCGATAGGGAGGCTGCTCTTGCCAATGCTAAAATTTGCCAGACCCTGGTGTTGAAGTTCAAACAAAGACTATCTTGAAACAGGCCCAAAATGGCCTGTACTAAACCTTGGTCTGGCGCTTGAGTTTCAGGGCAGGTCGAGTTTAGGAGGGCCTGCAAATGGCCCTTGTTTTCAGGCTTTCAGGTTGAAACTACACAGGGTCTGTAGGGCCTTTGTTTTCTGTCTGCTCGGGCCCTGCAGGCCCGTGTGGCGGCGCAGTATGCCCCCCCCCCACCCCCCCCTCCTTGAAAGTCCGAGCTTACCTGCAAGGGCAAAGCTGCGTGTCTGAGGGAGGGACCAAAGTCTGGGTGGGAGGGGCAGGTCGTGAAGCTTCCTTAGCTAACCTTTGTCGTTCGTAATGAGCGTAGATCAGCGGTGCAGATGCTTTCAAATCTGCTCCTGAAATCCATAGAGTGTCGTTAGGATCGCATGCTTTGAAGGTAACTTTGTACTGTCGAGGCTTGCTGCCATACTTGCGATCCATAATGATGCGGTCAACTTCCTGATGACCATCCATAGATGGAGGGTCTTGCGATCGCTGGCTCGGGAAGTCGTCGCTCTTAGCTGGTGTGTATGTCGCCAGCTTCGAGGCGTGAAAGACTGGATGGACCGCCAAATGCGGGGGAGGGGCCATCGGGCTCGATACCCGCGACTGATGTTACGGGCCATGGTCCAAACCACTTGGGGAGTAGTTTGCGCAAAACGTCCTGTTCGAGTGCAAACTCTTCCTCGGAGACCCAAACCAGATCACTGGTGCGGATGGGATATGGCACGCGACGCCTGTTGGCTTGCTGCTGCATGCGGACATGAGCCTTTTGCATGTTCGCGCGGGCTTGAGACAACAATTCCCTGTACTTCCGGACGGAAGCGGGAGAGCAAGCGGTGTCTATGTCGGCTGTTCGTGGAAGTAGAAGATCAGTGAAGATACGGCCTTCCCGACCACTGTGGTGCAACTCGAATGGAGCCACGCGGATCGTCGGATGCAACAGAGTGTTGTAGGCGAACTCAATGTCGGGGAGGCGGTCAACCCAGTCCTTCTAATCCGGACGGATGAGCGTACGAAGCATCATTTGAGCGGTTTGATGTGCCCGCTCCGTTTGCCCGTCCGTTTGTGGATGTCGAGCCGAACTTGGTTTCATCTTGGTGCCGGATTCCTGCATGAGAGAAGTCCAGAATGGCGACATGAAATGAGTCTCGCGGTCGCTAACAATGTCTTTCGGTACGTCGTGGCTGCAAATCCAGCTAGTGTGCAAGAGGCGTGCAAGTTCGGGAGCCGTGGCGTAGTACTTGCAAGGGAGAAGTCCTCAGACGGTGAACGACCGTGAGGATGCCATCGTGCCCGAGGCGGTCACGGGGAAATGGATCGGTGATGTCCATGGCAATGGAGAGGCCGGGTTCCCGTGGGATAGGCAATGGGCGCAATTCGCCGTGGGGATTGTGGTTGAGGGGCTTGCTTCGTCGGCAAACTTCGCAAGAGTCGCAATACCGAGTGACATCGGTAATGAGGTCGGGCCGTTGCCGAAGTCGTGCAATAGTGCAATCGACTCCGAAATGGCAGACGAGTCGCGAGTCGTGGTACTCGCCGAGAAGGCGAGTCCGAAGACGATGGTCTCGTGGGACACATAATAAGTCCTTGCCTCGCGAGTGGAGAAGCAAGTACCCGTAGGCGATGCGATAATGGCTGGCCGACGGGTGATCCGAAGATAGCTACGCATATAGCGTGGCGAAATCTGGATCGGACTGGTTGCCCCGGTTGAAATGTCGCTGAAGTTCCTCATCGAATGCGAAGGCATGATGTGTCATAACGCAAAGATCGGGTTTTCACGAGAGTGCATCTGCTGCGCGATTGGAGAGGCTGGCGAGATGTTTCGGTGTGAAGTTAAATTGGTCGATGAAGTACATCCATCGTCCAATCGTGCTGCTCACCGTATCCTGCGTCTTATAGCAGGTCAACGGGTTGTTGTCAGTGACCCATGTGAACCTACGGCGCCCAAGGAGGAAGTGCAGCCAGCGCTTGGGAGCCATCACGAACGCGAGTAGCTCCTTCTTCCTTGCATTATAAAGTGAGTTGATGGGAGGCACTTTGTGGCTGAAATACTCCACGGGGTGCCAATCATCGTCGTCGTGTTGTTCCAAGAGTGCCCCAATGCCATAGCCGGAAGCGTCAATTGTCACTCTCTTTGGCAAGGTGGGGTCGTAGATGCTAAGGATGGGTGCCATGAGCATGGCCGTCTTGAGTGCTTGGAAGATCGACGCGCATTGTCATCGAATACGAGTGGCACCTTCGGCGATTGTAATCTGGTCAATGGTGCCGCAATCCTTGAGTACCCGGTGATGAAGCGTTGATAGTAGCCCGCCAATCCCATGAATGAGCGAACGTCCGTGGTGTTGGTGGGCTCGGGCCATATGCGGATGGCCTCGATCTTGTCCGCCAGCGGATGGATGCCTTGTGGCATCACATAATGGCCTAAGGACTCGAGCTCTTGTCGCGCGAATTCGCATTTGTCGTGGTTGGCTTTGTACTTCGCTTGTTGTAGCCGTTCCAAAACGGTGCGCAGGTGCTCCATATGCTTGTCCAAACTACGACTGTACACCAAGATATCGTCGAGGTAGACGAGTACAAATCTATCCAGCATGTGTCGGAACTCCGTTGTCATAGCCGCTTGGAATGTGGCCGGGGCATTCGTAAGGCCAAAAGGCATAACCAGCCATTCGAAATGCCCATATCGCGTCTTAAACGTGGTCTTGTAGCCATCCTCCTGCCGGATCTCGAGTTGGTGATATATCGATTTGAGGTCTAGCTTGGAGAAGAACTTAGCGCCGCCCAACCGTTCAAGGAGGTCGTCGATGCGCGGAAGAGGGCCGGCATTTTTGACGGTTTGCGCGTTGAGCTTGCGATAATCGATGCACAACCGCAAGTCCTTGTTCTTCTTCCGAACGAAGAGAACGGGAGCGCCGTATGGCGAAGAGCTAGGCCGAATCCAACCTTTCTCAAGAAGGTCGTCGAGTTGTGCCCGTAGCACACTTAATTCTTCCTCGCTCATGCGGTAGATGCAACCACGTGGAGGTACAACCTCGACCTCGAGGATGATCTCGTGGCGGATGGGCCGATCCAGTACTAATGCGTGCGGGGCTTCGAGCACGTCGCCGCAGGCGTCGAGAAGCTCGCTGATGCGTGGGTCCGTTGATGCGTCCGTCGATGGGATGTCATGGGGAGGGAGGGCGTGGAGAAAACACACCCCCATCTCAATGTCGTGCTTGGTGATGGAAGCTCGAATGCTTGCGGCGGACACCACGTGACAACTGATTGAAGGGTGAGGTGGAGGCACCGTGCATTGGACTAGTACTCTGTTCTGATCACGAACGTGAACGGTGCTGCGGTAGAAGTTCACCGGGTGATCCTCGCTTCGCAGACATGACATGCCCAAGATCATGTCGAACTTAGTGTCCAAAATGTCAAAGGACACGGCCTCGCTTGCATGCCGGGCAAAGTACACGGGGACAGATCAATGCACTAGTCGATTGACTTGTGAGTTTGACCGTCGACCAACGTGACTTGCGTGGGCTGGGACTTCCTCCGAACGCGTGGCCCAAGGCCAGCGCGTACCATAAAGTCTTGGCTGATATAGTTGCGAGTAGCTTCGCAATCGATCAAAGCGCTGCAGGTCGCCTCTCCGATCTGAATGTGTATATACAACAATGGCGCATCGACATTGTCGTACCGTTGTGTCTTGAACTCGCGGTCGATCTTCGCAACGTAGTTGTGAAGGTCAACAACCTCTACTCCGACGTCCATCAACGGAGCTAGTACTGCAATGTGCAAGTAATCTCGCAATTGTGCCATGAGCACGTTGCAATGTGGTTTCGGCAATCGACCGGTCGGGGGAAGGGGGATCCATCGGAAGTTCGCGAACGTCAACGGGTCGAGATTCTCAAGTCTTGACCATGACGTCGAATCCCAGGCGAAGGTTGGCGGCGAAGCTGCCGAATCAGTTGTCGATGGTGGTGAAACCGTGCGTGCGGTGGATTGTTGCACGTGGTGTGGCTGGTCCAACGGTGGGACCAAGTGGACAGCGTAGCTCTTGTAAGTGAAACAAGGACTCGCGACATTTGCATTCTCCCCAGATGTGTAGGAGGCTGGTAGCAAGGTGACCGAATTTGGCGGAGTGAGAGGTGGAGTCACCTCACCTCCACGCAACTGAGTTTCCTGAGCTGATTCGAGGTTGAACATCCTCCTTGCCTTGATCCTCGCATTGGGAGGTCTTGTGCTTGGTGCTGTTGCACCAATAGCAGCAGCCATACCGGCTGCGCCACTTGTATTCGGCCTCGGTCAAGTTAAACTTGACCCATGGTACTGGCTGTCTGTTTCTGGCCGGCGATGCGGTTTTCGCCTTCCCTTTTCCACGGGAGTTGTTTTTGCTTCGCGGCTGGACAACGGCCACCTGATCTCCCTCACGTGATGCTGGGGTGGCCGTCGGGTCTTCCACAATGTTATCCGGTTCGACTGCAGTGACTTGCTGCGGACGTGGACCAAATGTTCCTTTCTCGACATGGGCTGGCTGCCACGTTGTCTTCTCGTGTAATGGTGAAGAGGCGGTTGATGGCGATCATCGGGGCGTCGTAAACAATGAACCGCTTCTTCCATTCTCTCGTTAGATCTTCCCGGGAGATCTTCTTGTGTAAGTTGTTGACCTGGACGCCGTGGATGGTTGCCATGTGGCTGAGCCAGATCTGGCATCCACCCTTGACGTTGATGAACAGCGCCGCGATGTACAAATGTTCGGGGACCTCATGAATCCCAACCTTTGTTGTAAAGCCTTGCCACCAGACGACTGGGTCCTGATGCGTATTGTTGACAAACTTCTCGATCCGGAACGTCGACATCTTGTAGTGTCTGGATGCAGTGGTGCTGCGATCGTTGTCGGGCGACTGGTGTAGCTGCTTGAGTTCGGTCTGCAAGGTGCCGAGCTGCTCGCTGATGGTGGCTGGTGCGGCGAATGTGCGGATGTCGCCAAGCATTGCTACTACATGGAAACCACAAAAAAGTACGGCCGCTCGCCCTAGCCAGCGACCGCTGAGCTGTTTGGGATCCTGAGAGATCAACTCGTTCCTCCAATTGGCGGGTTGAGGCTGCACTGCTGGGTTCGCCAGCATCTGGTCCTGGTGCTGCTTGCTCCAAGTCTTGTACACGGGAATCAAGTGCCCGTGTAGCACCCTTGTGCAGATCCTTGTCGTTCGGCACTGCCCGTCGGAGGTTCTCCAGTTCCAGGTGCTGTTGCGCCAGTGCCTGGTGTTGTTTCTGACGTCGGACTGCAGGTGGTTACAAGTGTAAACCAACCGGGTCACGAGTTTGGAGAGGAACTCCTTGTGCCGCTCTTCCGGTGTGGCGTCGTCATGGTCCTCCGATGTTTCAAAATGCCAGAACTTGAGCTTTTCGACGCTGGCGGTTTCGTGCCGCTGTAGCAGATCCTGGGCCTCCTTGCAGAGGGCCTGGGCATCTGCGTCAGCCTCGGCCTGAAACCGCTGCTTTTCAGCTGCCGCCGCCGCTGCCGCCTGGCGCTTTACCTCAGCCTCGATCATTGCAAGCTGATCTAGAAACCGCTGTCCGTACTCGTCAATGGACTCGTTGGTCAATTGGCCTGCCATGCCCAGAGCTGAAACCGTCATGGTGGCGGGCACTGCTGACGTTGGTACTGCTGCTGTCGTGGCACTGCTGATGTGGCACTGTCACTGACGTGACGCTGCTACTGATGTGGCACTGCTGGTGATGTGGCACTGTTGCTGATGTGGCACTGTTGCTGATGTGGCACTGCTGATGTGGCACTGTTGCTGACGTGGCACTTACCAAACCGGGAATGCAGGCAAAGGGTTGGGTGGGAGGGAAAACGCAGGAAGGTAACCAACCAAACTGTACTTTCCTCCCGGTCCTAATGAACAGAATGAAAGAAAAATAAAAAATAAAAGAAGGGGGTGATGATCTGCTATGAGTGAGGCATTTCAGAGGGGTACTATGAGCAAGATCTAGAGTTTCGGCTTCCAAAAGAAAGTTGGTCTTGAATATTTTTTTTGCGCGAAATAGACTGGAGGTTCCACTTTCAGAGAAGAATAGATCCAGTCCGAGAATATGACGACCTCCCTAGTTCACCTAATATGCCCAGAGTAAAACAGATAACGAAATGTTTATATCCGAAGTTGCAAAAATTTAAGGAGATATATATATTTTTTTGCAGAGATTTGACGAAGTCCTCCTTGATTTACTAATAATCAATCAATCAATCAATCAATCAATCAATCAATTCAACAATCAGTAGACCAAGCAAGCTCGCTACTCGATTGGGCGGATCCTCTGATTGAGAGGTCTGCTCCGATACCAAATTCTCGCATACAGTAAAGGTGCAGACCAGAACAAGAACCGACCTCTCTCACATAGTACCAGATAGCGCAGCGGAAGGCTAATATACCAATGATCCGATCAATCAATGTCGCAATGCAGACCAAACATACATCATCATCATCGTATGGTGTGAAGGGACCTGGCGCTCACACAGGAAGAATGCGCCAGTCCCAAACATACACAGACAAAGAGGAGGGGGATTAGACGAAGAAGAGGGGAAGATGGGAGTGTCGTCTACACCAAGTCTTTGGTACAGGTCCCAAATAATCCCTCGTCCAATGTCTCAATCCCAATGTCGAGTCTGAATCCAAATGTCGTGAAGTCCCAAAGTCACCAATCTCTCTCTCTCTCTCTCTCTCTCTCTCGTAGTCTGCAGATATTGAGAAGTTAGGTAGCGAGAGGGTGAGGGAGAAATGGTAGACTTAGAAGAGGAAGAAGAAGAACTCTCTCTCTCTCTCTGAGTCCGGTACTAACCTGTGAAGGTGGCGCCTTGTTGCAGGTACATCGAAGACGAAGCTGGAGCTATGGCGCCACAGGTAAGTCTCCCTGGCCTCCGCCAACCCTCTCTCTCTCTCTCTCTCTCTCTCAAACGCTACTCTAGCGCCTAAGAGCGGCCAGCGCTGAAGACTACTCCTAACGCCACTACTACTACTGCAGCGCTCCTCCAGAGTGCTGCTGCCGAATCCTGAAGACTGCCTCCTGCCTCCTGCACGTGAAGTGCCCATGAACTGCCTGGGAAGTCCCTATGAACTACCTGTGAAGTGCCTGGTGGACGTGTACTATATAGTGCTGGTCTGGCAGGGAGGCTGCTCTTGCCAATGCCGAAATGTGCCAGACCCTGGCGTTGAAGTTCAAACAAAGATTGTCTCGAAACACACCCAAAATGGCCTGTACTAAACCCTGGTCTGGCGCCTGAGTTTCAGGGCAGGTCGACTTTATGAGGGCCTGCAAATGGCCCTCGTTTTCAGGCTTTCAGGCCGAAATGACACAGGGCCTGTAGGGCCCTTATTTTCTGTCTGCTCGGGCCCTGCAGGCCCGTGTGGCTGCGCAGTATGCCACAATCTCAGAATCGGGTGGGAGTCGGCAATTGCGCAGAATTCAACCTCCCGACTAAGGGAGGACACGTGTTGTGCAGAGTAAGTAACCTGGAAGAATTAAATGGCTGTGTAAAAAATGCTAGGAATATTGCACTGCCAGACCAGAGGGGGAGGGAGGGAGAATAGAACCTTGATGGAACTGAACGATGCTCTGGACCTCTGGTTTATACGGGGGTCTGGTTCCTATGGTGGGGGTAAACACTCCTCTTTCGCAAAATAAAGATTTATTGTTATGTTGGAAACCTTCGTCTTCCTCGAATCACTGCCATCCGAGCTCTCTAGCTTATCTAAGAAGACTCGGAAAAACATTTTGTGTTGTCGGCAGTAGATAAAAATCCAGCTGAAACAGTAATTATGGGCCCTGAAACCCCTATGCTAGAGGGATGCAGGATGTTTTTTGGGGAAGTGACAGCTTCCATACTGAATGGAGATAGGAAGCAGAGACTCTGGTAAAATGTGAAAGGGGGTAGGGTTTGGAAAGGATAGGGAGACTCTGGGATGGATCGGGAAAATGCGGTCGAGCTTACATAACTCCAAAAAAAAGGACCTATGTAAGTTCCGCCCGATAAGCCAGCCCGTCCTTCTCAGAGCCCTCGAGAACGGCAGGTAGCCGAGTGGCCCGCACGCACTTGAACCACCTTCTCTTTCTCCTACCAAAGAGTGTGCACTTCAAAATTTGAAGTCGACAAATCTGTTGCTGCGTAGAATTATGGAGGTGGATGACTGGACAGAGAAAAAGAGGAAAGGAAGTCTGCTCGGCGCCTCCTTTTTTGATATTAAAGAGATGTTCAGTCGCCTAACCCACTGCCTGGAGTTGCTCGGTGGGTATGTTCTTGGAGTGGCTCGGTGGGTAGGTGCTTGAAGTGGCTCGGTGGGTAGGTGCTTGGAGTGGCACAGTGGATAGGTGCTTGGAATGGCTCGGTCGGTAGGTGCTTGGAGGGGCTCGGTCGGTAGGTGCTTGAGTCCCTCGGTCGGTAGGTGCTTGGAGTGGCGGGGTTCAATTATGGAGGCACTAGATTGGATACTACAATACTACGCAGGTAAAGAGGAAACCAGACTGACAGTTAAGAGAAGAGGAAAAGGCACATCATTTTCTATGGAGGACAGAACCGACAACTGGCTGGCTGATCATACGTTCTGAGGAGATCCGCAATATGATCAGTTTTGAGCTTCATCGTACATATGTCATGGCGGCGGGTCGACTGATTAGACAGGAAACGGCTACTCCTATGGGCAATAGTACAAGCCCGCCTTTGGCTTGTATCCTCTGTGCCTTCAACGGATACAACTTCCTGACTAGTTTGGGTACGGACAGGAAATTGGTAAAAAGAATACGGCTGATGGATGACGTATCCCTGTTTGTCTGGAGCAATTGAAAGGGAGAGAAGATCGAAAGGCAATAAATTAATCAGTCTTTCTTCATCTGCCTATGATAAGGAATTGACACTGTGAAACGAACATACAAAGGAAAAGGAGAATGGGAGTTTCTGGGGACGAGGGTTAGAGTGGAAACAGTTAATGAAGTGACGACACAGCTAGTCCAGTGCAATTTCAAAGAAACTTGGGAGGATGGGACTCTTACGGTTAGGACGATCCAGGACTTTTAACTCCTATGCAGCTATCCCACAGAAAAAGGCCGGTGATTACGAGCTGCCTTCACCGAAGCTACCATATGACGTCCGACGTAAACCTGACTGGTCTGAGACTGCTTTCTCTGAAAAGGCTCCTGACACTGCAGAGCTACCCGGGAGAATATTTCGACGACAGCCTGGGTAAGTTCATCTGGAGACGAGCCCCGTCATGGAACGAGTGGGGAAGGAAATACTGTGGATGGTAGTAGATTAGATACTGATATATCAAGTCTAACTGACATATCTCTTTCTAGGGTGAAATGTTTTGAATCTTTCGATAAATCCAAAAGGTACTGAGATGTGGAAAACTCTTATTCGGGATTACCTCAGAAATAAATAAAGGGAGACGGTAACAGTAGAACTGCGGACTCTGGAAGTTCGGACGGCCTTGGGAGATTCCAGCAAGGGCAGACGGCGTTTTTTGACATCTCCTGGAAAGGGTGGGGGAACCGACCTCACAGAGCAGACGGCGTTTTTTGACATCTCCTGGAAAGGGTGGGGGAACCGACNTGACATCTCCTGGAAAGGGTGGGGGAACCGACCTCACAGAGCAGACGGCGTTTTTTGACATCTCCTGGAAAGGGTGGGGGAACCGACCTCACAGACTCGGAACTGCTGCGTTTTACTGAACTGTCCGGAAACAGGTCTTAGGATTTCAGAAACTGCCGGGGTTACTTCCGGAAACGTGTGTTGCATGGAAGTAGCTAGAATGAGGGACTTACCTGGTAAAAACATCGATGGGGTTTTAGTATTTACTATTTACTATTTACTACGTAGAAAAGACTTACCCGTCCGTCACCTCGGAGTTGTTCCCTTTCCCTCCTGATGAGGCTAGTCTTGGCTCTAGCCGAAACCGGTCGAGGGAAGCCAGACTGTTGCCTTCCATGTGGGCGGTGGCTCGAACTCCATAGCTTAGGGCCTATGGTGATACTAGTGGTGTTCCTTTCCTTCATATCTTTCGAAGAATATTCAATTCAGAGTTTTACACATATCTGGCGTGTTGCTTATATGCAGCGTGCTTGTGTTTGCGTATTGCCGTTTTTAGCTCGCACTGATGTTGGCTCCTTGCTCTCCATTCCAACTATGAAGGGATGATCATTGCCCGCCTCTGCTGCGAAGCTGTAACCTGTTGTCTTGCCCAGGGCATTGTGGGTGGTTCATGCGAGAGTCTATTGCCGAGTTCAGCTCGTACTGACGTTGGCTCCTCGCGCTCCATTCCAACTATGAAGGGATGATCACTGCCCGCCTCTGCAGCGAAGCTGTAACCTGTTGCCTTGCGCAGCCCGTTGTGGGTGGTTAATGCGAGTCTGTTTTCCACAGCAGGCTGCTGCATCTGTCGCTCGTCTAGCAAGGATGGAGAAGATCCATTTGTGGGTTTGCAGCTGGAGGTTGCCCTATGTTTCATGCTGGACCTAACGGAGAGGATGTGGCGAGTGGTGTCGTTGGGGATAGTCCACACAGTAGGGACACCTACTTTCCATGACAGCTTCCTTGGAAACATGGATGACACATGGCATGTTGCCTAGACATCAGCAGGAAAGCAGGCTGGTGTTCGCAGTCACGTAAGCATGGCATGTCGAGGCCACAACCACATATCAGGCAAGGGAGGGACGGGGGGGGAAGAGAGGGGGAAGATGAGCACTGAAAGGTTATCGCCACGAGGGTGAGCTGTTGCAAACCGTATGTTGCAAGTAACTGTGGCACTAATTAAAGGAATACGAATGAGCGTCGTTAAAAGAACAGACAGAATATTAGGTGTGCGGAAGAATGAACGGGAGTATACCTGACCCCTTGACTCTCCTTTCATAGTGTGCACGTGGGCTGATATGGGACACGGGGATGTGGGCGGCTCAGTTGCAACCACAATCGAATGTATATGAGAGGCACAGTAAGATGGGAGCTGCAACGAGAAAGAAAAGGGGATTGCCACCGAAAGCCGAACTATGGAAGCGAAGAAAGAATTATACAAGGATTTAGTGTGCTTTATGTTGTTTAGCTATAGAGGCCAACTTTTTTTTTTTTTTTTTTTTTTTTKGGGGGGGGGGGGKGGGGGGGAGGACAAATGCTCCAATCTATTTGTGGCGAGCAACATGTACTGGGAACCGGGCCCAGCGTCCCATATGAAATTGTACAAGCATTGGAACACCGGGGCCATTACCCGGCTTCGCCTGAGAAACATTCTGAACAATTTCAGGAAATTTTAGAAAAACACAAGTAAACTACTGATGACCCATTGAGTCGTCCCCCGAGCTTTCCTACCGTAAAGGGGAAGAGCGTGGGTGGTGAGTTCCTTAATGTAAAATTTATTTAACTCTGCATTTGACTTGCCGGTGGAATAGGAACCGGACTGACGCTCCCCAGAACAGAAAAAGAGCCAGAATCTATAAGGTTCTGGTTTTTTTTTTTTTTTTTTTTTTTTTTTTTTTTTTAAATAATAAATTCTGACCTATTGAGGCTACTGCTAATGAAACAGCCTCAATTTGGGATCTGCTCATCTTACTGTGGTTCATCTTGTTTGCTATAGAGTTGAAGAAACAATCTTGCATCTGCTCATCTGTTTGTTTTGTTTTCTATTTTTACCGTTTGTTTCGCAAAGTGCGCTCTTTTAAATTCATAGATATGTGACAAATATATATTTTATTATTTTGTGCAAGTGTGCCGCTCCGACGACAGACGGGTGTGTGGGCACGTGACGACTCTTAACCACACAAACGCGGCCAAACGTGCATCTTCTTCTGTTAAATTGCCTATATCTATACCTACCTTGTTTTATAGATGGTAAACTTTGTGAATGATTTGCAGATGGAACGAGGAAGAGAGTTTGGGGTTATTTGACAACACGCATCGACATGTGACTTTTTTTTTTTTAATGTCAGTTGTCCGCGATGGGGTCTGATCGTTCGAGCTGAGGTACACGACTTGGGTCCTGAATACATCATACAGTTACGGTCATGATAGCTGTATTTAGACTGAAAGATACGCCAAATACAGCGCGCTACAATGACCGTACGTTGCATTCGGGAGAAGAAGGTCGATTGTTTAACCAATCGGGTGGTTTGGGTCCTGTCCTCATGTGCTCTTCCTCTGCTACTCTGCCATCAAATTTTGGGGCACATAGCTACAGATATATTTTTTTATTTTTTTACCCTGGAATGCGTGTCACCCTCGGGCAGCGGCCATGCTAATCTTCTCTGTTTCGTTCCAATTCTAACCCATGTCCCGAAGGACACAGAGACAGTTACAGATGGACGAACAGGAAGAAACACAGGCACAAACATGCCTGCAGCTACAGACGAAGTTACCTGTAGGCAGAGAGCTACAGACTAACAGGGAGGGAAATGCAGTAGCAGAGAGACAACTGCAGACACAACAGAAACAGAAGCAGACACAGACACAGACACAGACACAGACACAGACACAGACAGACAGCTGCAATCAGTCGGACTGGCAGTGCAGACACAACACAAACAGATACAGACAGACAGCTGCCGTCAGTCAGACTGACCGCTACAGGCAGACAAAGGCGGCTACAGACGGACAGCTGCCGATGGAGCTGCAGGCGGACGGACGGACAACTACAGACAGGTAGGTGGGGAGAGAGGCAGGCAGGCAACATACGCAAAGAAAAACAGACAGCAGGCCACAGATATAGACCGACAGCTACACTCAAACAAGACAGGCAGACAGAGATATACAGAAAAGGAATCAGCCACGCAGACAGAACTGTCGACATACAAACTGATAGCTGTAGACAGCTGTTCAGATTCACAGACTGCGAGAAACAGAGGCAGAAAAGTTGAGTATAGGCAGACCAAAAACCAGACAGCCACAGACAGACAGCCAACTACAGGCACGCAGATAGACAAGCCAACAAGAGAGAGAGAGAGAGAGAGAGAGAGAGAGAGAGAGAGAGAGAGAGAGAGAGAGAGAGAGAGAGAGAGAG